CCTACATTATTGAACATTGCCCTTCATATGCAAAGTACACCTCTCAGCGTACTAGCAATGCAATATGCTGTTATATGAAGTTGTTACTTCTAAATAATTCCCTATTTATACCTGAACCTGACTGTTTTTTATGCAGTTTTTCGATATGAGCTCTCTACAGACAACAATACTCCAGGGGTGCCTACTGCCTACTCAACAATGGTTACCTCAGAGTTCCAACATCCAAGGTAAGTGCTTTGTTTGCAATAACTGTTGCTTCATAATTCTTAGCATTTGTATCAAAATTTTGGCTTTCCGTTTACCTTATCACAGTGAACATTTACAATTTTCCAGGTGTACCATACGTGGAAACTCAAGAACCTAGTTCTATGTTCTCGTAAGTTGCTTCCAGAAGCTTATTTGATTCATACTTGATTTATGCCTTCATCTCTTGAATGGTTTATAGTGATATTATCAGAAACGCACAAGGCACTAGCACATCTCGTCATGGGAATCCATTTGCGTAGACAGATATCGGCCAAGGCAACGTGACCGCTGCTAGTGATACCATGGATGCTTGCAAGTTTTGATAGTGCACTGACAAAACTTGTTGTTCCCTTCTTTCTTGTCATGAGTTTACGAGCAAACTGGAATATTTAAACAGTTGTTCTCTTCTATCTTTTCTTTCACATTTTCCTCTCTTTCCATTGTGTTTCTTTTTTTCCTTCATAGATTACAAGCAAACTGGAATATGTAAACATGTCTTTGAGTGTTGACTTAGAAATGGAAATGAATGTAACTATTTTGCAGTGGGAGCAAATTTTTTGTTTATCATAATATGCAACTTGTTTGAAGTATAATTTGATGTCTGGCTTCTTTGTTGATGTGAATGAGAGCAAATTTTTTGTAGATGTTCAGGTTCAATGTTCAGGTTCAGTGTAGGCTAAAAAGCGTCACTAAAAGTAACACTTTTGCCGACGCTATATTGCGTCGCCAAAAGTAATATCTTTTAGCGACGCTATCTTTCGTCGCCAAAGATATAGTTTTTAGCGACGCTTCATTCTGCGTCGTTAAAAGCTACACTTTTGCCGACGCTAACTTGCGTCGCCAAAAGTATAATTTTTAGCGACGAACAGTTTTGCGTCGCTAAAAGCTATATTTTTGCCGACGCATTGGCTTTTGCCGACGCTGCATGCGTCGCTAAAAGTACAAGTTTTGCCGACGATATTTTTGCCGACGCATTGGCTTTTGCCGACGCTGCATGCGTCGCTAAAAGTACAAGTTTTGCCGACGGACTTTCGCATATGAAAAAATTATGCATACTTTTGCCGACGCAAAATACTATGCGTCGCTAAAAGATATACTTTTCCCGACGCATGAAGCGTCGCCAAAAGTGTTGACTTTTACCGACGCAGTGTGTTTGCGTCGCCAAATATTTTCCTTGACGCACTTTTGGTGACGCGTTAGCGACGCTGCATTTTGCGTCGGGAAAGATTTTTCCCGACGTTTTTTAAACTTTTGCCGACGTTTTTGTTTCGTCGGCAATATTGTATTTTGTTGTAGTGTGAGGTCAGAGACAATCCTAACTTTAATAGGTTTAATTGCTCAAATTGGAAGTGGACCTCTCGTTCATGTAAAGAATCGAGAGAGGAATCTGGCTTTGGCCCTAACTTTTATAGGTTTGACCTGAAAGCAAAGAGAGTGGTATACCAGAAGCAATGAGAATGCCAACTCGTACTATCACTCAATGGAGGACTTCAACGCTAAGTGATTAGGACTTAACATGTTGAGTCTAAGAATTGCCAATGATTGGTGGATAGAAATTTTGGTGGACCCACCGTCAATTAATTTGATCAGTGGATGGTTTTGCGAGGAAGGATTAATCTGTCAAAGGATCGAATCTCGTCTCACAAAAATAACTCATGAGAGTTAGAGAATTTGATAACAATAAAAGGAAACATTCTGACATTCAGAGTTTAAATGTGGATCTCTTATTTATCACTTTTACAGTGATTGGGTTATCCCTAAGAATACCACACGTGGCATTCTTCCGGGAACTTCCCGATACATTGGTTATCCTGAATATTCTAAGGGTAGTATTTTTTCAAGAATTTGTCGTTTATCGATATTATAAGTCGATCGCCATCCCTGGTAACAAGGCGATATGTGCCCCTTGAGTAGACTGTCTCTACTATGAATGGTCCTTCCCTTTTGGGTTCAAATTAATTGAGAATCACCAAAAACTTCGAGATATTCGACCCTAGCTCTTTGGCGAGATTAAGAATATCCCGTATAATATTCTCCAGGAACTTCCCGTTGGATACAAAGGAAACAGTTTATACTCATATACCTGTTGGAGTTTTGAGAAGCAGTTTATACTCGTATACTCTTCGAAGTGTTGCCATTCTCATTTGGCTTATCCTAGCGTTATGACGCCGACTTCAACCAAGGTTTGGATGCTATTCTTTAAAGTAAAGCAAGTCTTGGTGGGATGAAGGATCCTCCTGTGGTACGCACAGTACTTCGGATCCGTAGTATTGTCATCTTCCTCTTGATTTGTGATGGGTGACAGCTTGATCTTGTTATTTTCAAGAAAGGTCTCAAAGATGGCTGGAACGTTTTCGTTCTTGAATGAGTACTCTTTTTGGAGCCTCGAATCCGAAGTCTTCTGCTGTCTTCGGGGCTACTGTTGCGACGTCTGATTAACATCAACAACTGTTGTAGGTGCCTTCCCTTCATCATGAGAAATGAGACTCGGATTCAGAGGGTTAGCCATCAGTTGGCTTCTTTCGACCTTCCTCCTTCTGAGAAAGCATTCGGCCTACTCTCCGCGCACCTTCAACTCTTTCCAGGTATTGAGCGGCTCTACTCCCATAACGTCCAAGATGTTAATGGACAAGTTGTTATAACAGGTTTGCAAGACGAATTCCTCCGTGACTGGATCCTTGCAGTTCATTGCCTGATTGCGGAAGCGTTTGATGAAGGTATCCACCGACTCTCCGTCTTTTTGTTTCTCATCGAAGAGTGTCCTGATCGACACTTCGGCGTCATCATCGAAGAAATGAGCGAGTAACATGCTCTCCAGGTCCTCCCAGCTGTTGATGCTTCCGGGCTTGAGACGGCGGTACCAATCGAAGGCAGGTCCGCGAAGGGCGCCAACGAATGACCGCACCATCAAGGGCTCATTGCCAGAAATTATTCTTAAATGAGACTTAAAATATATTAAGTGCTGAGTAGGGGAACCATTTCCGTCAAACGGTGTGAAGTTGATCAAGTTGAACTTTGCCGGATATGGGATCGAATCCCACTTTCTTGGGTAGGGAGACGGAATACCGGTCCTTTTTATCCCCTGAACAGACATCAGCGTATTGATTTTACTCTTGAGGTCCTTTATTTTATCGTCCTCGTCTGTATCAGATCTTGGACGATTCCTGAGAGGAATAACGGGGCCACCCCCAGCATTGTCATCTTTGGTAGGACCACCCCCAGTATTGTTATCCTTAGTGGGACCACCCCCAGCGTTCTTGTCAATGGGAGGGTCATCAGCCTTAAGGTGTTCATCTGTATCTGAATCGCTATCTGTTTGATTAGCATTGTTGCGATGGCTAGATTCACCGAATTGATTGGACAGAGCCCGAATTTGTTGGTCATGCTCTTCCCTCATTCGTAGCATAGCTATTTCCATTTCGATCTTGAATGCCTATTTCTGCTTGGCCAAGGCATCCTCAACCATTTTGGCTACTTCCTCGGTGTTAATCATAAACACTTCACGGAATTGTCCTGGACTAGATACCGTATTATCAGAAGCGATTGCTGAGTTAGCATCCGATGCTTCATCATCCGAGGATAACCCTCTCTGCATTCTCTGATAATCCCTTTGTCTAATAGTTCCTGATCGTAACTGGGTTAGACGATGCGATACAAGCGGATCAGAGCTAGAAGGTCGAATCGATTTTCCCTTATCAACCATATTGATGGTAACCTCTGGGGGTTCGTCACCTTGAACGACTAATCATTTCTTACGGAGACGCTTTGGATTGGACTTAGCCTTATTGTTGGAGATCCTCTCAAATACTGAGACCCTCTGTGGAGCGGTCTTGGAGTAGCTACACGCTGATAATACTACCCTGATAAATTTGGTACACGGACAGTGAGAGTCCGCTTCTCAGGTACTTCTCTTTCGAGATTTATTCGTACCCCCAGCCCGATAGTACAACTCATCGACGTTGCGGTCAGAGCAACCTATTGGCTGTTTACATGAATTCTCAGGTATAACGCATTCTTCTGTCTGACGTGTTTTCATCTGAGTAAACATCGCCTTGTTGGCGTCTATAGGAGTCACACGCTTGGAATCACACCTTTGTGAGGGTGAAACCTTAACGGGCTCCTGGTTTTCTGCACGCACCCCCAAGCGGGCCGTTGTAGAAATTAATTTGTTAGGAGGTCGCGTACGACCCCCAGTCCGGATGTTTGCTTGAAGCTCCTTCAACGGTCTCAAGCTTTCCTTAACAAGCGCTTTTCCTCGATCCTCGAGTAGAGAACCGATGTGATCCTTCAATGGGACTCTAGATTTGGTAAGATCCATGCTGTCATAGGGCTTCACCGGAGGTGCGGGAGCAATAGGAACGGGATCTAGAGTTGACAAAGGCCGGAAAGCAGCCTCGTATGCTTTTGCCTTAGGCGCTGATTTGGCCTTTGGCATCCAAACTTGCTTAGATCTTGGTGGCTTTTTGACCACCTTTTCTTTCTGTAACTCCTGTGCATTCCGTACAAGGATCCCCGTCTGCGCTAACAGTGTGCGGTGCTTGTGGATGCGCTCCTCAAGAGTTGAACGAGTTCGTTTGACATGAACCCATTCGTTAGTAGGTGGTTGTGAGGAGGTTCCCAAAGCTGGTTGCTGGAACACTTTGCGCCTTCTGAGTTTTAGATCCGCATCATAGCAGATCCCGTCAACAGGCTCCAAAGCCTTGGCAAATTAACGCGCGAGATGTTGACGGCGCCTTTGATGAGCCCTCTTCGTCAGCACTGGTGCACTTTCAACGGGCAACTCCTTGACTTTCGAGGAGTTGTCACGAACGTTGGATTTGGTTTCTTTGGAAGCCGGAGAGGAATCTTCCACTGCATTCGGGTTCAGATCATCAGCCTTGTTTTTTTGATCTGAAGTCACGTTCTTCGTGGCAGCGGTTTTCCTGCGTTTGCAAGAGGGAGATATGGAGGAGGAGGAAATATATTCCTCGAATTTCTGCTGGTCGAATTCGTATTCGACCTCTTCGAACACCGGGATCTTGATCGTCGGCTACGGCACGACAGCCTCGACAGTGAGGCTGTTGGCTCCCACTGTGGTCGCTAGCTTGTTTGCGGAGAAAATTAATTGTTTCATTGCGGGATTCATTACAAACTTTAGATGTTTACAACAAAAACAAAAATTCGTCTTTTTATAAGACCTTTACACAATGAAAACAAAACAAAAGTACAATTCTCTTCAAACAGCGCAGAGATCGTTTATCGGTCTTCTGTTTGCGTGGGATCTTGGCCTGTGACGGGGATGTTGATATCCGTGGACCACCGTCTATCAGATCTGATTGCTAAAAATCAGGCAGAGCTTTGTTGATTCGCGAAGGAATCAAGAAACCGTAGCGCTTATCTCGGCAATGGCGAGATAATTGCTCTTCTTAAGATTATCGCAACGGGATAATCTTAAGGGACGGACCCGAGGAACTGCAAATCTGACAAGCTTCTCTTCTTTATGCCGATGAACTCGATCAGATCTCTACTCCTCCTCCTCTCTGAAATTCGTGCACTTTTAATCTTCAATCCGGCAGGGCTTCG